AGCCCGGACGGCAAGTACATCGTGACGGGGGGCGAGGACGACCTGGTGACGGTCTGGTCTTTCGTAGACTGCCGAGTGATAGCTAGAGGCCACGGGCACAAATCCTGGGTCAGTGTTGTGGCGTTTGACCCCTATACCACTAGCGTGGAAGAGAGCGACCCCATGGAGTTTAGTGGCAGCGACGAGGACTTCCAGGACCTCCTCCATTTCGGCAGAGATCGAGCCAATAGCACGCAGTCCAGGCTGTCGAAACGGAACTCGGCCGAGAGCCGCCCCGTCAGCGTCACGTACCGGTTCGGCTCCGTGGGCCAGGACACGCAGCTCTGCCTCTGGGACCTCACGGAAGACATCCTTTTCCCCCACCAGCCGCTCTCGAGAGCAAGGACACACACAAATGTCATGAACGCCACGAGCCCTCCCGCCGGCAGCACTGGCAACAGCGTCACGACGCCCGGCAACTCCGCGCCCCCGCCCCTGCCCCGCTCCAACAGCCTCCCGCATTCCACCGTCTCCAGCGCCGGCAGCAAGAGCAGCGTGGCCGACGGGGCCATCGCTTCCGGGGTCAGCAAATTCGCGACACTCTCCCTGCACGACCGGAAGGACAGGCACCACGAGAAAGACCACAAGCGAAACCATAGCATGGGACACATTTCCAGCAAGAGCAGCGACAAACTGAACCTGGTTACTAAAACCAAAACGGACCCCGCTAAAACCCTGGGGACGCCCCTGTGTCCTCGGATGGAAGACGTTCCCTTGTTAGAGCCGCTCATCTGTAAAAAGATAGCACACGAAAGACTGACTGTGTTAATTTTTCTTGAAGACTGTCTAGTCACTGCTTGTCAGGAGGGATTTATTTGCACATGGGGAAGGCCTGGTAAAGTGGTAAGTTTTAATCCTTAATGCTGCACCAGATCTAGAACTCGAATAGGTAGTGATTTTTTTCTTGCGGGAGGGTGGGGTGTACAATGAATGTGAATGGCACTTCGTACTCTTAATGTAAATCTAAATGCATCAGAGCCATAATTTTGGATACTGCATGCCATGTAATTCTGAATCATTTGATAATTCAACTTAGAACGTTTAAAAAAATATAATCAAACTAATTGCCAGCCAAGTCAGTCACCCTCCTGGGAATATATAGAGTCCCAAGGTTAGCGTTCCTGTATTAGACGACTTCGATTTTAGGAAAATCATGACCGTGTGGGGAACAATGACTTTCAATGCTAAAATTAAAATTTCTGCTTTAACTGGAATATTTTTGCTTAACTACTCAATTAGAATGTTGTACACCTGATCGGAGTGTGTGTCCAGTATGGGCGGCCATTAATTGTCGTTTATAGGCCAGTTTTTATCTTAATCATAAAATGTTTAGGAATCTATGAAATTTAACTTTAGGAACAAAGCATTCAGCAGGGTTGGTTGATATTATTTTTACATTGTTCTGGCAATCCACAGAAAGAGAAGAGCCTTAATTTTTAAAACCCATTTTAGTCATTTTATGACAATTAAAATTGTTTATTAATAAACATCTTTTTTCAAAGAAGCAGTTTGTAGCACTTTGATTGAGAATCTGTGCACTAAACAAAACCCCACACTCCTCCGAGCCTGGCTGTCCCGGGGACCGTGGGCCGAGGGCGCCAGCAGCCGTGGTCACAAGTGCCTGTTGCCACAGAAGCCGAGACCGTTCACGTTGGATGCGTTTTGCTTATGTTTTTTTTTTTTTTCCAACAAGGGAAAGGCGGTTTTGGTTTCTTTTGTGGTTTTTTTGTTTTGTTTTTTGTTTTCTCGTGTGTGTGTGGGTTTTGTTGTTGTTGTTGTTTGACGATGTTTTTTGGTCAAAAAGGCACGACCGTGGCCCGGGACAGACTCCGCAGCCCCATTTTGTGAAGATTCCAGGCGCTTCCAGAGGGGGCGCTGGTCTGGGTTTTGTTTTCCCGCCCAGAGTTGGGGGGGGGGGGGCACAGGTGCAGGTTGCCCCCTTCTCTTCTTACTGGACGGCTGTCATGGCTCCGCTTGGGCTCTGTCCTCAGTGGCTTCCTGCCGGAGGGCCTCACCCCTGGCCCTGGTGGCCTCGTGGCTGCTCGGGAGCCGTGGGAGCGGCCGTGGGCGCTTCCCTCCGGGGGACCCCGAGCTGCTTCTGCCCGTGCGCTGCAGTCTCGGGTTCTCACGCCCGTGGTCCCGATCACCTGTGCGAGGAGTTGCAAGTTCCAGTTTCACCTGGAGGACCCGGTTCTTTGAGCTGCGTGTCTTAGGTTCAAGACGGCGGTTATCTTGTTTGTTAACTTATTTTGGTCGTTTCGGTTTGTTTTCTGTGTTGCACACCTTTGTGATGAAGCCTAGAGATGCTGCTCGTTGACACCGGTTTGAGTAGTGGCTGTGATTCAGCGAAGCAGACACCGGGGGGCTTTCCTGTCTCTGCAGCGCCCAGCTCTGGTGCCGGAGCAGCGGCTCTGTGTGCTCCTCCCGCAGCCCGTCCCCACCTTCCCCGTCCCCACCTTCCCCGGGCCCGCTTCCCGGGCCCCCGCTTCCCGGGCCTGCTTGCCTCCCGCTGGGGCCATCCGCTCTACCCACCCTGCCCCTTGAATGCGAGGGGTTTCTGTTACCGATGGCAGTGCTCTGCCCCGCGAGAAGCCTGCTGGCCTGCCGGGGGCATCTCGCCCCTGCCGTTTGTGCGTCGTGTCCCCGGGTATATGTTCGTGTCCCGTTGGCTTGTAAGATACGGTCCTCTGTTCCTAAATGTTAACTGACCTAAGGTTAGCAAAGTCAGCCGGCCTTGGGGACGGTTTCAACTTTGGAAGCGAAATCAGGCTGTCGGATGGAGAGATTCGTAGCCAGCACTCCAGGTGTGGTTTTACATTGTTTTAGAGATTTCATTTCAAATGCTTCTGAGGCATTGAGTATGCAGTTTCAAAATTCAGGACTTGTATTTGGCCCAGGTAACGAGTGGCTGGTCCCAGGTAAGTAGCCTTCGTGGGGAAGCTCATGCTGACCTGGTTCTGAGGGCATCGCTCCAAAGCCGTGATGGGTGCGCTTTCTGGGGACCGGGCGCTCTCTGATCCCTTTCACCCCCTGGCACCCTTAGCTGCACGGGCTGCGGTAAGGGAGGGACGGCTCGGGGGGCACTGCTGGGCGACCCAGGTGGAGTCTGTCGTGGGAGTCGGGGGCAGGAGAGGCAAGAGGAGGAGAGTATGGTTTCCTTAAAATCAGCCTCGCCATGTGCTAATAGGAGCCCGTGGTGTTTCTCTCCCCAACCCCCTCCCCCCACCCAGTGTTAAAGACCATGGTCCTGTCACAGTTTGGGATTTGGGGCTTGGTCACAATCTTGTTCTTCCAGTTTCTGGGGTCCCCTCTCCGGGGACTTGCTGGGTGTCAGGAGCTGGGGAGCGCCGCATGACCCGCTCTTGTGACACCCACCCCCTTTCCTGCAATCCGGAGGAGCAGGAGTAGAGCTGCTGGCCGCTGGCGGAGGGGGCGCTTGGAGGGGCGGGCCCCCCTTAGGCTGGCTTCCCATGATGACTCCTGCAGCTGTGGGGTGCGGGGAGGGGGGCCCCCGGGGTCCTGATCTCAGGTGTGTAGGGCCCAGGGCCAAGCTGCTTCCACGGTGGCCCTGGGGTGATTTTGTAGTTTCCGCACCAAACTTGGAGCTTCCTCACTGAAACTGTTTCAGATGTTTTTGCTTAAATATTATCCTGAGCAAGAGTATCTTTTCTAACCCAACTTCTGGAATAGAACAGCTTTTGGCAAGAGGAGGCCGTTACTGCTTGGCCAGCACAGCTTTCCTATCGTGCGTGGTCCTTTCTGCCTGCCCTGCCCCGGCTCGCCTCTCTCCAGCCTGCCGTGCTGTGGCTTCCGAGCCCCCCGCCACCCCAGCCCTTCTCTGAGATCCTCCCTTACTCAGGGGCACGGGGGTTAAAATCCCTTCGAGGGCTGGAGAGAGAAGCCTTTGGAAAACGCTGCCTTCTTCTAAAAGCAGATGTGTAAGAGGCAGTGGGCAGACTCCGGAAAAACAATCAGTAACTTTGGGTTCTACATTCACTTAAATGGTGGTAAAGAATCCTAATTTTGTCTTGTGTGCTGATTGAAGCTTCTAGCGTTTTTGAAATGTTCTGCGCACCATTGCCTGGAACTGAGCGTCCGCGCCTCTGACGGGAAAGGGGAGTCAGCTCTTCAGGGGCCACGGGAGCGAAGCGCCTCGAGGCTCCACCTGTCTGCGGGCCTGCACACACGTCCCCGGGGGACCCGAGTCCCAGCTGGCGGGTAGCCGGGTAGCCGCACCCCTGGTTCCTCCACTGAATCGTTAAGACCCTCGTCAGATACTGAGTTTGTGCAGAAATCGGTGGAGCTGCTCGGTCAGACGTCTGCACCGCGTACGGGGCTCCCCTCTCGCCTTGGGAGGGAGACGTTCGGTTCTTTGTTGGGGAAGCTCAGAGGGTGAGGGGGGAAAGCCTGAGGGTCAGGGAGGGCCGGGGAGGCAACCCGAGAAGGACCTAGCAGCAGAGTTCCCCGGGCTCTTCCGGGAGAGAGGCGCGGAACGCAGCGTCCCGCTCTGCGCCCGAGGGCACGGCCGAGGCCCCGGCACTGCCCCGCCCCTCCTGGCCTCTGAGCCACTGTCCCGTCGTGTGGGCTGCGCCCACTGTCGGGGTGTCCTCCCTCAGCAGGGAGCCTCCACGTGCGTGTGGTGGGCTTGATAAGTAACCTGGCAGCGTCAGCCGTCCTGGGGGCACACCAGGGACCGACTGGCGAGGCCCCCTGTCAGCACGCCTGTCGCACTGGGCTGCTTGGGACGGTCATGTGTTCGGGTCGTCGGGGGGCTCAGCGCCGTGAGCCCGGTGATGGCCTGCGAGCGCCGATGGCAGGCTGGAGAACGGGGTCCAGGGCTTGCGTTGAAAAGCACTTGGGTTCGGAGCCCAGGTTCTGAGCCGTAAGAAAATGCACCCTCCCCCGACCCTGTGGAGGGGACAGTCCCCTGCTGCCTCTCAAAGGGTAAAGGAAGAATTTCCTGCGTTTCTTATTTCTGTATACCTAAGTTTATTAAGGACTGCTGTGTTAGGTGGCATCGTATAAAATTGTGTGATTATTTACGTTTAATGAAAATCAGAAGTGAAATTTGTGTCCTTTGTTACGTTTTCATCTAACTTCTTGACAAATAAATTTGATGAAGAGGCTTCCTAACATGACATGCTGGTAAGTTAAGTTCTTAACTGTTACGGTAATTAATGAGGCTTTCGTGGCAGTATTGGTGATTTCTCATGTTAAGAAAACGGTGTTTGTGTGGCACTGTCTTGGGTCTTAGCTGTTCCCTCGTCCCCGTCGCGGCCGGGGCCTCCCCGCCCACACGTGTCCCCAGGCGCTTGGGGGCCCTCTGTCCGTAAACGCGTGCCAACACCAGACGCGTGGACAGTTTCCAGTGGTCACTTCCACGGCAAGGCCGTACGGCAGTCCCAGCCGGCCGGAGAAGGAAGCTTCTCGGTGCTTGTTCATGTCGAGAGCGCCAACAGCCACGGGAGTTCCCACGCTTCCGCCCAGTTCCGCGTCCTCGTGACTGGAGACTCACTGCTCCGAGCGGCAGAGGTGCCGACGGTCCCGTCTGGGCCAGGGCTGCCGACGGACTCCTCGGCCGCGCCGGGTGAAGGTTCTCGGCGACAGCGCGGACGCGCGAGGGGGCGGCCTGGGCCGCCAGCGGCTCGGTGTCGGGCGTCCCGTTGGGTTCCCTGGCCAGTAGCTGGGGGCACCGAGGCGGGCCGGCTCCTGGAGGAGCTCCTGTCCCGGGCTGTCCTCGTCTTCCTCCTCGTCTCACATGGCCCGCCTGAGGCCTCGTGGCGGCCGTGGAGCCGTCCTTCCGGAGACGCCCGGCCCACGTGGGGTGGGAAGAGTCAGCGGTTCGCCTCATCCTGCAGGGAGGTGTCCTCCCCCCGCCCCCGGCCCCCCAGCTGCACCCCGGCCTCTCTGGCCCCGAGCCCCTCGAGGCCGGACTCCAGCCTCGATCTGCAGGGGCCCCGGAGGCTGTGGGACGTCACCTGCTCGGGCCCCGGGGCTGCTCCTTGACAGGAGACGTTCGGGCCTGGAGCTCCCTCCGGGCTGCCTCTCCGCGTGCTCCGGGGGCTGGACCCCGACCCCTCTGACGGTGCCGTCCTCCCGAGCGCCCGGCGCGAAGTGTCGTGCACTTCGCCCCTCACGCTAAGCTGCCAGCGCAGACGAGCCTGTCGCTCGTCCGCCCTCACAGCGGCCGACCTGATCTCCCGACAGCAGCAGCATGTTTTTCCCTTAGCGGGGAGTAGCTTTTCGGCCCTAAACGCTGCGAGGTTGACAGCAAGTTGAGAAAGACACACACGACATTTTAATCTTTTAAAAATAGTCTGTGCCTTGAAAAAATACTCCATCCTCCCGTGTGTCTGCCTGTGGGAAGAAACCCGTTGATTGTGGACCTGTGGTCTCCTGCAAGGGACAGAGCCTCTGGAGGCGCCCGGTCCCCTCCCCTCCTTGAGTGCTGGTGGCCTCCAGACCAGCATCTCGCTCTGGGTGGGGGCCAGGGTGGCCGAGACCCTCTTGAAGCGACTCCAGCCAGAGGCGCTTTTAGGGTACACAAGAGCGTCCCCTCCTTCTGCCGTAGGAAGGGGGTGCTTTTTCCCCAGGCAGAGTTCTGAGCTGCCCCGACATGCTTGTGCCCCAAGAAAGCCTTTTGCCCGGATGTCTGAAAAGAGCATCATTTTCTCCGGGTGAGTTTCTCTTGAGGCATCAGGCCGAGTGGTCTCCCTGGGGGAAATTGTCACCCCCGATGTGACCTGTCGTTCGGCAGGTCAAGGCTACCACAGGGACAGGGTCTGTTTACTGCCCAGCAGGAGCCAAGGCCCCAGGCCCAAAGTGAGCAGTGGGTCGGGGGCCACGAGGGGCCCTGGGGGGGGGGGGGGTTGTGGGGGGGGTTACCCTCGCGGGGAACCAGGGCTGCGCTGTGCCCACCCCTGACCCTGGCCGTGCGGTCCGGGGCTTCGGCTCCGCCAGGCTTCCGCGGGCTCTTCATGCAGCGCTTGGGTCATGTGAGCCGTGAGGGTCTCGTGGAGGGTCAGGCAAGAGGGGTGTGTGGCTCGGGCGTTCTGGAAGAAGTTAGCCTGCTGAGATTTCTCACTGTGCCCGTGCCATCTGTAGAAGGACATCAGTTTACAGATGGCATCTGCCTGTTAGTCTTTGTGTGACCAAGAGCTGGAGTATCTCCTCGCTTAATTTTTGAGTGAGATCTCTAGCAGCAATAAAACGGCAAGTCTGGTGACGGCGGGATGGCCTAGTAAATATTAGACTCCGGATTGTCACTATTCCGGTAACCGCTTCCTTCCTGGGGCCTGATAGGGTGTTAGGCAGATTCTCGGGGTCTGGGCCGGGGCAGACTTGCTGTTCGTGAAACTGGTCCCCACACCGCTGAGGACACCGACACGGCAAGTTCGTCGGGCAGGCCAGACGGGCACGGCTGTCTCTAAACCGGGCCTGGTCTTTGCTGTCTCCTCCCCGTGAAAATAACCAGTGAGGACGCAGTAAAGTGCAAGCCGGCCTCGGGAGCAGGCAGACCGGGCGGCAGGGCCACTGTGCGTCTGCCACGGATGGCAGGTCCGGGGACCCCCCCCCCGGGATGCGCCCCAAACTGTTCTTACGTGACGATGGCAGCTGGCCTCCCTCCTGAGAGTGGTCTGGTCTCTGTTGGGGGCCTGTGTGTGTTCTCCATCTTTCTCTTTGTCCCCCAGTAACCTCTAAACTAAAGCACGGCGTACAGAGAGAAGGTGAGCTTGACGTTGAATTTTTGTTTGAGCGGCAGTCTTTCCCCGGTGCCTCTGCTGTCCATCACGGCAAAGCGAGTTCCATCTGTAGGAGGCGAACGGGTGTGGGTCTGCGTCCCACTGACCTCCCGCTGCCGGTGGCGAGACCCGGCCCTCGCCCGCTGCCTGTGTCAGACGCGCCCTCGCGCCCTCCGAGGAACGTCACGGACCCTCACCCGCACGCCAGAAGCACCTGCACCCCGGGGTTCGGGGCTCCCTGGGCGGGGCCTGGGTGGCCCGCTGGGGCTCCTGCTTCCGCCATTCGTCCCTTCTCCCTTTGCTCTGGTTGAGGGCCCCAGGGAGCCCTCAGGTCTCTCACCCACAGCCAGGCCTGGCATCCCGGGCTGCTCGCCAGCTCGGTACCCGAGGGGCGGCACCCTGGGGGTGGGTCCCTGGCGCGCACTGCCGCACCGTGTCCGTTATTAAAGATTCGTTCACCAGGGTTGACATCGGAAGGGCTAATAACCCTGTTATCCGGACCCTGCCGCTCCCTGGACATGTGGCAGTAGAGGGTTGTGAGGAGGGGTGGCGTTGGGGTGGTCGCTCACTTAGCTAACCTTCACGGTCTGTTTCGAGCCTGGGCCTCTCGGACAGCGGGGCCGCAGGGGGTCGTTCCTGTGGGGTTGAGGCTTCAGCCAACGGAAGCCGGAGAATGAGTGTGTGTGTGTGTGTGTGTGTGTGTGTGTGTGTGTGTGTCGCCTAGGAGGAGAGGAGAGTGGGCCTCCCTGCCGGGCCCCAAGGACGAGGCGGCATCTCGGGGGAGAGGAGATGGTCAGCCAGTGGAGGCACCGTGTCCCTGCTGACGTCAGGTCCAGGAAGCCGGGGCCCCCGGCCACCTCCGTGCCTTAGCACCCGCCCTCCACGGGAACTGCACACCCACAACTGGAGAGAGGCTAAGGCGTGGGGCAGGCAGTGGAGGGGGTGGTGGTGGGGCGGCCAGGCCCGCGCTTGGCACCACAGCCTGTCGTCGAGGGCCACCTGTGGCCACAGAGCACCGGGAACGGGGCCGGGCCGAACGGAGACGTGCTACAGCACCCGCCTCAAAGGCTTTGTGGGGAAAAATAACGTCAAGTCCGTCATTCGTAATTTTTAAATTGATTGTGTTGAAATAACATGGGATATATTAGGTTAAATATATTTCACCTTTTTCTCACTTGTTAAATGTGCTACTAGAATTTTAAATTTCACACGTGGCTTGCCTTGACCTTGTGTTGGACCAGGCCGGTCTAGAGATAACACCTTCCCTAATGGGGGGGGGGGTGCCTTTCTCAGAGTGTCCTTGGTATTTAAATAAGTGCAGCCACCGCTGAGCAGGGTGTGCGGCTCCGACCCCAGACCGGATCGTGGTTCTCCCGTTGGCGGGAGGAGCGGAGTAGCTTTCTCTGGTTTGGAGAGAAAAGCGAGGTCTTTATTTTGTAGACTTGACAAGCTGTCCAGGACACCCCGTAGCTCCCGGAAACCACTCTGTTAGTCGGAATCACCTGAAACCTTGATGAGGAAGGCGGCGATCCTTGTGTTAAAGGTTTCCTCACGTCGCCACCGAGAGGGCGTCGGGCCTTGCCTTGCCGGCCTCCCCGCCGCTCCGTGGAGGCTGGGAGGCGGCCCCGGTCAGCGGCGGCCGGAGGTTGGGTGTGCTGGGCCGTCTGTCCCGCGGCCCCTTGATGGGTGTGAGCGGGAAACACGGGGGGGCGCGTCAGACCAGGCTTGTGCTCCCGGACGCCCCGCGCGGGGCTCGGTTGTCACACCCCGTTGGCCCTTGGCTTCCTGATCGTGTCCAGAGTCACGGGGGGGGGGGGGGCAGTCTGAAGAAACGAGGCGTGAGTGGGGGGGCCAGCAACTTGCCCGGCTTCCCTCTGGCCAGGTGCGGGCACGACCCCGGGGTGTCCGCACAAGTGCAGTGGGTGGAAACACAGCCGCGGTTGCGTGGAGTTCAAGGCTCGTCGTGGGTCCACGAGTCACTGACGGAAGCATTTTGGGGGACCGCATAAGCGTGTGTTCACAGAGCCGAAAAGCCGTAGCTTCAGCGTTGCCCTCTTGTGACCTGAAACTTCTCCGCGACGGTCGCCCACCAGCCCGTGACGGAACTCCGTGATGAGCACACGCGCACCCACGCCCACAGTTAGCTCTCGGCCGCGGCCCCGCTCACACGTGGAGTGCCAGAGGCCTCCCGCCTGCCGGGAGGGGCCGCCCCGTGGCACACACACCACCTCCTGCACCCTGTTCCCTGAGCCAACACAGCGCGGGTGTGGGCCGCGTTCTGGCCCTCCCCCCCCCCGTGGCCCAGATCCTTCTCTGTCCACAGGCCGAGTCCACGCTGGTGCTAAAGCCGGGGATGGGGGGGGGGGGCGGCACCACCGTTGCACCCCAACCAGAGCGCGCCGACCGGCTCACGGGGCCGGGTGTGCAGGTGGGGTGGCCGTGGGCGCCAACGGGGACCTCTCCTGGGGACCTCGCCGTGGCCGTGAGCCGCGGCCTCTGGGGAGGGTGGTGTACGACCGCCCCTCGCCTTCGGGCCCACGACATCCCGGGGACCCCGGGCCAGCCCTGCCCACCGGAGGACAGCCAGGCAGGGGCCGGGTTCAGTGGCTCCTGATTAGTTAGGAATGTCACACAATGACATGAATGATAATGAAGTAAGAGGACAGAGGACACTGGCTGACAGGCCGACAGGGTAACTCTGGTCACGCGAGCCGGCTGGCGAAGGAGGAGTGTGGCTTTCTTGGCTGCCCCGTGTTTTGCTGGATTAATGTAAACTGCTTTGTTTGCAGGGCTTATTGTCATCCCAAAACCAGGCCAGCTCTCCAGGTGGAACTGTAGTATAGTGACCCACGCGGTCCTGAGGGAGCGACGGACAGAGGTGGGAGCCCCGGGCGCGGACACTCGCGGAGGCAGCTGTCACCCGGAGTCGTGGGAAGACCCTCGGGGCCCGCTCGAAACCGCCTTCTCTGCCACTCACCCAAAGAAGCCGTTGCCATTTTTAAATCGTTCTTGTGGGGCTGCAGTAAAAAATAAGAAATGGGATTTTCTTGCTTTTTACTCGAAAGTTCAATGTAATTAAAATCTCACATATATATGTGTGTGTGTATATATCCATCCATATATATATATATATATATATATATAGTATATACATACATGCATAGTGTAAAATGTTTCTTGGACAAGAAATCCCCTTAAACTCAACTCTTACAAATAGCACTTCACTCTGGTTTTGCACTGATGTCTTTATACTTAGGTGGTCAGAAGGCAACCCGGAGGGCACTCGTGAAAGCTGTCACCTTCTGACGGGAATCTGCCATTCAGGACGGTGGATGCTGCGATCTGAGATCTTCACGAGTCGTTTGCACTTAAAATAGTTCACTGCTGTTAGGAAATGACTTTAAATATGGGTCTCACGGACTCACGGCCCTCCAGGGTGTATAGATGCTTTTTAATCTTAACATTTATTTTAATACTGTTGTTTCCAGTGTAGTCTGGCTCTGTATTATATGTACAAATAATGGAATTCTGCTTCCGGGGGACGTGGTTACTTCGGTAATTTTCATCAATTTAAGAGTGATATTTCTAATTCATGAAAAAATATTAATATTAAAACTATCTTGAATACACCATTTGTTTATCTTTTGTCAAGTCGGCTCCGCTTTTTTTTTTTTTTTCAACGTTTATTTATTTTGGGGACAGAGAGAGACAGAGCATGAACGGGGGAGGGGCAGAGAGAGAGGGAGACACAGAATCGGAAACAGGCTCCAGGCTCCGAGCCGTCAGCCCAGAGCCCGACGCGGGGCTCGAACTCACGAACCGCGAGATCGTGACCTGGCTGAAGTCGGACGCTCCACCGACTGCGCCACCCAGGCGCCCCAAGTCGGCTCCGCTTTTAATGTAACCTTTTGTTCAATTAAAGTTTGGTATAAAATTACCCGTCCTTCTTCCACCACGTTCCCGGAAGCCCTCTCTGCTGGCAGTGCCCCGGCCAGGACGGGCCGCTCGAGCGAGCGCGGCTCAGCTGGAGAGTTCCGCGGCCCCGTCTTCAGGCTCACCGTCACGGCCGTCGTGGGTGCCTGCACGTGTGCGGACGGGTTCCGGCGAATCGTTCTTTCCTTCCGGCTCTAAGGCCCGGCTGTTGTCACTGGAAGCCCGTGAGCGCTTGTCCGTCCGTCGGCCTCTGGGGAGCGTGGAGGGCTCCGTTCGCCGTGGGGACTGAGGGCCCCGGGACCGTGCAGGATTTGTGTTTGGTGGAAACCGGCTCAGGAACGGCTCTGCGCGGAGGTCGCGCCACAAACACTCGTCGACTCCACAGGCGAGAGAACCGCGGTGAAGTGCAGCGGCCAGGCAGGAGAACATTCTCGGCTTTAAAAAGCCGTACGCAGCTGCACCCCCTGAAGGCATTTTTATTTGGTGTGGCCGTAAACCAGGAGCGTGTGACTCGCATCTAAGCGAGCACATTAGTCTGGGGCACTGCCCACACGACTTAGGGGGAAAAACGAGCGTACGCCCTTCGAGATGTGCACGGTTTTCATCGTTTCTGTGAGTGCAGCGACAGGACCGATGCTTCACCCCAGGCCGTGGCTGCTTCTCAGAGGAGAGGCCCGGTACAGCTGCTCACGGAGCCTCTGGGTCCCAGGGACGTGCACTTTGGGGAAGGTGAATACCAGGAAGCACGGACACCCTGTTGTTTTAAGTGAAACAATCGATTTATGTATCCTGTACATCCGGTACGACCTGTGCATTAAAACAGCACGTCCCTGGGGCGCCTGGGTGGCTCGGTCGGTTAAGCGTCTGACTTCAGCTCAGGTCACGATCTCACCGTCCGTGAGTTCGAGCCCCGCGTCGGGCTCTGTGCTGACCGCTCAGAGCCTGGAGCCTGTTTCCGATTCTGTGTCTCCCTCTCTCTCTGCCCCTCCCTGTTCATGCTCTCTTTCTGTCTCAAAAATAAACGTTAAAAAAAAAAAAAATTAAAAAACACAAAAAAAACCACAGCACGTCCCAGAGAGTTGGCGTCTGCCCTCTTGGTCAAAGCTCTGGTTTCCAGGCGCTGTCGGTGACGCACAGAACCCCAGCCCCGCAGGTCCAGAGACGCACAAGGAGGCCCACGGACTGCTGCAGTGTCACCAAGGGCCGTCTTGGAAAATGAAGTCCAGAGTTCCTCTTGTGACCACCCCCCGGGGTCGTCTCCTCTTCCTGTGAAGGGACAGGTGGAGGCCTGGCTGGGCCCAGGACAACCGTTAAAATTCGGGCACGGTCAGAGGGCCTGGCCGTGCTCCCCGGCTTTCACCGGCCCCATGGGTCACGGCCCTCCAAGTGGGCAGGCCTCGCTCGGTCCACCGTCTGTGGTCACCCTTTGGTCGGGCTCTGGAGTCAACGGCCAGCCGTGTCCCAACATCGGCTCCCGGCCCCGTGGTCCAAGCTGGCTTCCAAAACCGGACTGCCTCGTGACTGCCACACGCTGGCACGGCCACCACGGACGTGCAGCCTGCAGCGGGCCCTGGGCACGTGGCACCCGGGCCAGACTCCGGCCCGTCACGCTCTCACACGCCAGGGAAGGAGGCGGCCTGGGCGTAGGCCTGGTCGGCCTGATCCGCTTTGTATTTGCTTTCCCTTCTTGCCTCGAGCTTTCCGACGCTTCTGGAGCTGGTGAGCGCACTCTCCGAGTGTGGGGACCGGTCTCAGGGGAGCTGAGGGGAGGAAGGCGTTCCAGGGAGACTCTAGCTCAGCCCTCGGCCCTGCAGCGAGCTTGCGGGCCGGCCACGTGGCCCGGCCGGAGGAAACGGCGCACGCCCAGGGGTGTCCCCAGCAGCGGGGGGGGGGGGCAGCAGAGCCCAGGTCGCTTCGGTGGCATCGCCTCTGCTTTTCCTCCTCCACAAGCAGGACTGTGCCGCTCAGGTCCGTCAGAATCGGAACCCTTGGACCGGCACGGCTGGCCGCACCTCGGCTGTGTGTGCCCGCGCCCCAGGGGTCCCCTCCCGTGCTGGGAGCGGGTGAGCCAGGTGGACGGGGTGCTGGAGCAGGACTTCCACCCCACTTCCCTCCTGGGGCCCCGCGGCGACAACTCCTGTGCCCGGGAGCCCTTTAATAGCGTTGCCTGCAAAGGCTCAGGCGGCCTCCCTCAGCGCCTGCCCAGTCGCGAGTGAGCGGAGGCGGACGCGGCCTCCCATGCCCACCGCCGGGCCGAGAGCGGGCCGCTGCGTGCGGGCACCCAGGGGGTGCGGCAGCACCTTCCCGCGCTCCGAATCTGCGGGACGGGGGAGTCGCTCTGGCGCGGGCTGGGCCAGCCGTGGCCACCCTGGGGCCTGGTGTGGCTGCTTCACGGCACTTTTATTCCAGAGACCAACGTTGAGCCAAAAGAGCTTCATTTGGTGGACAGGTCACACCCCGCGGGGGCCTGGCCTGAGAGGCCCTCCGTGGGGAGGGGCAAGTTTGCTTTCTCAGAAAGTCATGCGGGAGAACGTTAAAGATCTTCCCCTCAAATTTTACACCCTTAAAGGGGGTGAGAGTTTTCCTCAACTCTGCCGTGGAGCCAGTCCTCGAGGACAGGAGCCCGTCCCTGCTGAGCCGCTGGCCCTTGGGGGCCTGGTTCCCCGGCGCCTCCCCGCCTGGGCTCACCCACAGCGGGGCCCTCTGCGATCCCGGCGCCCGCTCCCGTCTCCCCGGCCTCCCTGCCTCAGCTCCCTCGGGCCTCCGAACTCCCGGATCCTCCCACAGAGGCAGAAGGGTGCCCTGCCCGCCCGCACAGCAGGGCATTGGACAGCCCGCCAGGGTGTTAGATGGGGTCAAAGGAAGCTCTCTTCAACCCCTCGCCACGTGCACCCAGCTCTCAACACCCCCCGAGTCTTGTTTCTAGTCTTGACTCTGCCCTTCCTGGGCGCCTCTGCCCCCCTTCGGCCCGCACCCCCCCTGCCTCGCACACCCGCCCCTCCCGTGGCTGCCGCGTCCACCTGGCGACTGTCCTGTGAGGCCGGGCCCTGCTCCACCACCTGTGACTCGGGTCCAGAGGTGGCGGCCACCGGAGAGGACGGGACCAAGAGGTTTGACCGCGTGGTGACTAGACTCCCAGCCCCCCAAGTGACAGGGCTGGTCACCGTGCCCAGCAGGGGGCGGCAGGGCCTCCGCGCCGAGTCGAGTCGTCAAGGCCAGCTGGCCCTGCGCTAGCCTGGGCTGAGCCGGTGACACAGCTCCAGGGTCCCCACTCCCCACTCTCCCTCCCTGACGATGACCAGCCTGTCACAGACTTGTCTCAAAAGAGGGAACAAGAAGACTGAAACTAACCTGGGAAATTCGCTCTTTTTCTTTTTTCTTTTTTTTAACATCGCAAGTCTGTGGGGACGAAGAAAGAAGGCATCGTTCCCACACAGGGAGCAGCGCGCTTTACTCACGGGAGGAAGCTGTGACGAAGCTGTGATGCCTGCGCCGACGAGCCTCCTGCTGGGCGGCCTCCCTGCCTCGGCACCCAGGCCAGGCCTGCGTTTACTCCTTACGGGCTTTTCAAGCGCAACAAAATTAAGCCGTACCGGTCTTTCCAACAAAATAAATTCCCCAAATATGCTCACAAAACCTAAAGCAGAGAGACGGCTGGTCAGGACACGTGTTAAAGTCAGGAAGTGTTCAAATGTCGTAACGACACTTATTCTTTAATAAAGCTCCGACAGCACAGTCTGTAACGCCATCACGCGCCCGGCGCCGTCGGCGATGTCCTAGAGGCGCCGCGCGCACAGCCACGGCGACACCGAGCCTAAATACAGAATATAAATTCGGATTTCTCTTCGGATTCAGATAAAAAATTACAAAATATTCTTTACCCCCCGTTCTTACGTTACGAGAATGAAACCAAAGCCCCGAATGAGGTGGTCTGACGAGCGTATTTGGCAGGAACACAGCACAGCCGCTCTCGGGGTGCAGATCCCGGGCTCCGGCTGGCCAGCGGGGCATCGCTCTCGGGGCGCCAGGCTCCGCGAAGGGGGACGGGGCTCTCCCACCCAAGACTCAGAGGCGATCGCGGCGGCCCGGCCGCACCTGGTTCTGTGCCCCCGGCAGGCGACCGGCGCGCGTTGCTCAGTAGCGGCCGCCTCTCCTCCCTATTGAGGGCAGACGACACTGTTTCAGGTTAGGCTTCACGTCCTTCTGCGGGTCTGCCTGTCAGAGGAAAGGGCAGACGCTGAGCGGAGGCCAGGACGGGCCCGGGGCGGCGAGCGGAGGGACGCTAGCGAGACAGGCTACCTTCTGGTTTGTGCCGACAAACTTCAGGGAACTCGGCACCGGGACTTTGCTGTTCGCTCCGGGTCCGAACACGGAGTGCAGCACGGGGCTGGGGTACGAGGCCAGTTCGGTCACTCCCGAAAGCTTCAGTTTGGGCAGTTGCATCAGGCAGGCGGGTCCCTGTCTCGTGGGAGGGTCCTCCTCTGGCTTTAGGGACGGTTTCTTGAAACAAAACACAGGCCCGTTGAACGTGCAATGGTGTCCCCCTTATGGAAATCGGGAAATACAACAGGGGCTCTTTTGCACGACTTTCGCCTAATCTAACTTGACCCAGAGGTTTGACCACGTGGTGACTAGACTCCCAGCCCCCCAAGTGACAGGGCTGGTCACCGTGCCCAGCAGGGGGCGGCAGGGCCTCTGCGCCGAGTCGAGTCGTCAAGGCCGGCTGGCCCTGCGCCAGCCTGGGCTGAGCCGGTGACGCAGCTCCAGGGTCCCCACTCCAACTCCCTGACGATGACCAAATCTGCCCGCGGCCTTGATTTCGTGTGGCTCACGTGCTAAGAATTTTTTTACATTTTTCAAAAGCTGAAAACAACTTCACGGCATGTCACAACTACAGGAAATTCCCGTCTCAGTGGAGATTGTCCTATTGGAACACAGCCCCACCGTTCATTTACGGATCATCCACGGCACCAGAGAAAAGAGGGCGGTTGTGACAGGGCCTTACGGCCCACGAAGCTGGGAAGGCTTATTACCGCACGGCCCCTGTAGACACGCGCAGCCCTCGGGAGTGCCAACAGGAGTGACGCGGTCGGACAGGTGTCGGCCAGGAGGGAAGGGCAGAGCAGGGACAGCAGCTGGGAGGTGAAATCAGGGAGGCTCAGGTGGGGGGTGGGGAGCTGCCGAGAGGGGGATGCCTCCCCCACTTAAAGGGAAGGCGTGGGGAGAAAAGCAGGTCTGGGGGGAAAGACCGGGAGACCGGGTCTGAACAACTCGGCCTGTGCACCACGGGGGAGCATCAGGCAGCAGCCTAGAATTCCAGAAAGCCTCCTGGCGGCAGCCACACCCGTGGCCTCGGCTCCCGGCACGTACCGACGCTCAGTAAATGCTGGGGTGAGTGACGGAGGGCACAGTCCTCACGAAGCGCGGGGCCAGCCCAGAACGTGGGACCAGGGAGCTGAGAGCTGGGGCGACGTGGGGCACCTGAGGACGACAAGACTGCAAGAGGAAGGTGCCGTTTCTAAAGCGACCGATCCGGGCCCAGACCGGTGCTCACCCGGACCCGCTGCACCCGTGTGGACGTCTGAGGCCGTGTGGTGGCTGGGGCCGGTCACTCGCCAGCTGGGTCACCTGGGTCAGTGTGGCCTGTGCCCTGTGCTGGTCAGGGGGCACAGGCAGATGACAGCGGCAGAGTGCATGGGCAGAGAACCCGGCACCCACGCGTGGGATAGTCCCACCTCGCCAGGCCCGTGCACACGGGGTGCCGCACCCGCCGTCTCCCCTCGGCCAGCGGGACGGAAAGGGCAGGCACGGCCGGAGCCCGGCTCCCTGCACCTGCCGAGGGCGGTGTCTTCCGCGGGGACGCGGGCCACCTGAGGGCATCGGGTCCCAGCTACCGAGACCATTTCCAGCTCCCCGACTTCACTTAGTACCTGTTTGCTGCCCTCCTCTGAAGTCTGCCAGCCGTTAAGGAGGAGTTCCGGAGCCACGGGGCACTCTGAGAAGACGGACTTCCTGTGGCTGGCCAGAGCCTGCTTCTCCACTGCCCTGTGGGGAAGGAGGAGAGGGCAGCGGCCCCTGAGAACGTGCGCAGCACGACCCTTCTGCCTCGTCACCGCCTCTTCCACGTCAACCGTTCCGGGAGCCTTTTCCGTCCTGTGTGTCGGCCTGCCGGTCTCTGGGCTGGGAGGGGAGAGGGCCCCGTGCGCCGTGGGCCCTGTCCCCCGGGAGGTCTGGGTCAGACGTCACCTGCACTCGCACCGCTCACAGCGGCTGGAGCACAGGGAGGAGCAGAATTAGACGCCCTCGGGCAGGTACTCCAGTGCCAGCACCCCCAAGCCTTACGGCGAGATCCCCCGGTCGACACCGACGTGCACCGGGCCCCTCCCGGAGCCTGGGCGCCAGCCACAGCGCAGCCACAGAACCGCCCCCCTTAGACCCTGCTGTGGAGTCGCTGAGGCCGTTCCAGAAAAGATCGAGGTGTATGTTCCCGGGGCCCCCGAGTTCAGGACAGAGCTGTTCCCGGACACAGCTGCCCCACCACGTGCCCCCCAGGTCTCCACAGCCAGCTCCTCCTACCACAAGGAGGCCCAAGAAAGCCCACCTCTGGTCCTGGAAGTAGGGGTGCTGCAGGGCCTGATGGGCAGTGATTCTCTCGTCGGGGTCGTAGGCCACCATTGCGTGCAGGAGGGAGAGGCATTTCGGGGACAAATTGGCTGTCAGTAGAGGTATTCCTGATCCCTTTTTAAAAGGAAAATCAAAACTCATAGCTCTCGACCTGTATTGAAAGCCCAATGACAATAAACGATCATGCCATTATGTAGAGCACCTGGCCAGCCGTCGTCATGATCCTACAGGGACCCGCACGGAGAAGGGGGCGGGACGGAACCACTGTCCAAACCCAGAGAAAGTGCAACAGCCCAGGGGCCCCTCACACGAGCTGAGGAGGCGACAATGATGTGTCACCGGAGGCTTATGGACTCTGGCTGAGGTTTGCGCAGGGGGAAGCTGCGTGTGCCCCAGCGGGGTACAAGGGAACGCTGTACCTTCCGCTAAGTTCTGCGGCGAACCTAAAACCGCTCTAGACAAGTAAAGTCTACCTTTTTAAAAACAGGGCAGGGGTTGTGAAATCTGTTATGCTATCAGTGTGAGAAAACGACTTTCCCCCCAAAAGACTCAGAGCACGTGCCCACCTGAGAAAAATGACGTAAAGTTTATAAGCAGAAAAAGGAAGAATTCAAACTAGTTGTCACCTCCTCGCCTTCCAAGGGCCCAGGAGCTGCCCACCCCCTCAGCCCACGGGGCTCCCCCTCGGAGGCCCCCGGCTCCCCGGATTCAGCAACCAGTGCCGGCATGGGCGTCAGTGTGGCTGGCGGCTCTGGGTGACGGTCACGGAGCGCTCACTGCGCACCGCCTGCACGTGGCATCCCTCTCCACCCAGAGGTCCCTGGGTCCTGGGTCACTATTCAGAGGACGGGACCCGACGGCCAGGCCCTCAGCAAGGCCAGGAGCATCTCCCTTGGCACCTAGGGAGGGGCACCCTGGTGGGACCCCCGGGGTGGGGGGAGACGGCTCCGAGCGGCTCGGTGCTCACACCAGCCCGACCTGGGGCCCCTTCAGCGGCCGCGGGGACCCAGGCGGACGGGAGAGCCACGAGGGCAGCAGAGGGGGGGCCCGGTCCGCCCCCCCACCCCCCTGGCTCCCCCCAGCAGCCCCCGCAGGGGGCAGGTCCACTTGGGGCCCCGGGGCGCACACGCACTTACTGCTTGAACTTGGTGAGAGTCTTCTCCGCAGGTGTGCCGATGACGTCGTGGATTTTTGAGATCTGGTCCAGCTCGTTGGCTCCGGGGAAGAGGGGCTGAAGGCTGGGGGAGGGGGAGGCAGGGCGGAGCTGCGGTCAGGACGGGCCGGGGCCACCTCATCCCAGCGACCCCCTTTGTGGGGCGGCCAGCTCCCACAGAAACCCGAGGACACGAAAGCCGCATGGCACCCCGTGCATGGGACTGCTCCGGCCTGTTTCTCCTTTACAGTGAGCGGGTGACACTCTTAAGACGCGGCCACGTTCCTCTCCGTACCCCTGGGATCTCTGCAGCGAAACAGGAATGTTCACACCGGGACACCTAACTTCAAGTTTCGCGTCCCAGGGGCTTTTTCGACAAAAATTCATGGTGCGTCAGGTCCGGTTTTGTTGACAGATGAAGTCCAAGAAACGTTTCGGTTTTCAGCGATTTTATGGATTTGGGAATCGCGGATGAAAGAATTTAGGCTTCTGTAAGTGAGTTCAGTTCGCAGGACAGGCCACGGCGGAGGATTTACGAGTGCCGCTTGAGCACCGGGGCCACCTCTGCGCGGGCAGGTGGCTCTGAGATGGGGCGGGGCGCAGAACGACGGTCTCCCCACGGGCTGCCCCTCGCTCGGCGGATGAGCAGCCGTCACGTTCTCGACACTGAGGTCCCTCAACATCCTTTCGGATTAATTCAAGGGGTCTCAGCACAGCGGAAAGGACCGTCAGTACTTTTAGCATCAGTGAAATCGCCACTCGGCTTTCCAAAAGCACCAAGCCGATTATCAACAGGTACGTCCTGAAGGACGTGTGTGTCTGTATTCGCGAAGTGGTTAGCTGGCCAGGCGGCAACCGGTGACTCGGGTCCCCGCCTGTGATGCACGTCACCCGACCTTAAACGCACCTGCTCGTCCTTCGCGATCCGCTCGGAGCACTCGGGCACCACCCTGCCCCTCCCTGGGCCTCTTCAACCCCACACCCTCCTCACCTCTGGGGGAGACCAGCCCCTTCCCTTCTCCCGGGCCGCTGCTCCATCCAGCGGCGAAGCCCCGAGGCTGGGGGAGAGGAGGCCGGGGAGGCCGGGGAGGATGGTGAGGACGGGGCTTTCTGGAATCCAGCCGTGCCGCAAAGCGGCCCACCCTCACGCTTGCGGCCAGAGCATCCTACTCGGCGGACTGTCTCTCTCAGGCAAGGCCCCGGGAGCAGGGCCGCTGCCCACACGGCAGGCCCCGCCAGCTGGCAGGAAGCGCCCTCCACTCTGCTTCTGAACGTCAGTCGTTCCACGAGGAGGCCGAGTCAGGAGGCCCACCGACCTCAGGGAAGAGCTGACTGACGGTAGTTTGTACTTTGTGAGAAGCGGACGAGGAGAGTATTTGCCGCAAAGTAAAAGGAAAGCCTGCGACGTTTTCCGTCAAGTTAACACCAGTCACGTGAGCAGGATGCCTGCAAAATCTGTTTCGTAAAGGAAGGCACCGGCATGACGCCATCGGGCTGGCCGGACCTCGCCAGGCAACCTGTTCGGGAAGGTTCACTCGGGGGGGGGCCACCGGGCGGGAGTCCTCAGACGCGAGGCGGGCCTCGGGCCTACCTGGCGATCTCGTAGAGCACACAGCCTGCACTCCACAGATCCATCTTGTAGGTGTAGAAGCCGTCGGTGAGGAGGCACTCGGGGGCGCGGTACCAGCGCGTGGAGATGTACTCGGTATACGGCTGCTTGGAGCAGACGCTCCGGCAGGACCCAAAGTCCCCTAATTTCAGGACGTCCTGCTGCAAGGGGAGAAAGGCGGGGACAAGTGACGTCTCAAGCCGCTGCTGTACCACAGACCATTTCAAGTGTTTATGCGCTAACAGGAAAATTACCAGCATTGCAACTAAGCTTGTGAAAAGAAATTACTTTATAAGCACCTGAGAGTGCCTGTGACAGATAAGAGAGTGGGGTCTCTGCTCAGTGGGACACATTTACAGACATCCTACCTGTGTCTGATGACTATTTCCGGACGTCTACAGGTTTGGGGAAACGTTAAGTCACCTCGTGAGTCTACAAATGAATTTTTTTTTTCAACGTTTATTTATTTTGGGGACAGAGAGAGACAGAGCATGAACGGGGGAGGGGCAGAGAGAGAGGGAGACACAGAATCGGAAACAGGCTCCAGGCTCTGAGCCATCAGCCCAGAGCCTGACGCGGGGCTCGAACTCCCGGGCCGCGAGATCGTGACCTGGCTGAAGTCGGACGCTCCAGGCTCCGAGCCATCAGCCCAGAGCCCGACGCGGGGCTCGAACTCACGGATCGCGAGATCGTGACCTGGCTGAAGTCGGACGCTCAACCGACTGCGCCACCCAGGCGCCCCTACAAGTGAATGAAACACCATATCGTGTCACCCGATCAGGACTCTAGCTGCGAAGTTAGCCCGGCTGGCAGCTTTGTTTTCCCTGTTGGGGGAGGGGGAGGGGAGGAGGGTTGGGGCCAGTTCTCTGGAGCCAAGAGCTCTTGGGAGCAGGTCAGACAGACTGGGTAGACCCTTTTCGGGATACCTCTTCCATTCTGTTTACCCCTCACACATTCAGCTGATAAACTAGAGGCTGGTAATGCACTTGGAGCCTCTGGTACCTACAAACCTCCGGCAAACATTAAATGCGGGCACGTTTCCTACCCAGGTTACCACGAAACCTCACTCCGGCGGCCTTTCAACTGATCCCATTCCCCAGTGGATCATGTTGGACTTCCAACAAAAATCGTAAGGCATGTTAAGAGGCAAGAGAAAACAGTCTGAAGAGAGAAAGCAAGCATCAGAACCAGTTTCAGAGAGAGCACAGGTGTAAGGATTTTAGAATTACCAGTCAGGGAATTTAAAATCACTATGAGTAATCTGTTAAGGGCTCTAGTGGAAAAAGCAGCCAACATGCAAGCTCAGATGGGAAATGCAAGCGGAGAGATGGAAACTCTAAGAAAGAATCAAAAGGAAGTACTAGAAATAAAAAACACCGTTAACAAGTAAAAAGTGACTTATAAGCTCAATAGACTAGACAGCCAAGGAAAGAGGCAGGGAGCCAGAAGATGTGCCAACAGAAACTTTCCAAACTGAAATGCAAAGAGAGAAAACAATGGCAAAACCAGAAAAGAACAGACAAGAACCACGGGACCGTTTCAAAAGTGCCTGGAACCGTGGCACTGGTACCACAGCACGGACGGATTCCAAAATGGCGATGCTGAGGGGAAAATCCAGGTCAGAAAAGAGCACATACTATACAATTCCACTTAGAGAACATTCTAGAAAGTGCAAACTAATTTATTTTTTAAATTAGTTTAAATTATTTACTAGTTTAAACAAAAAGTCTTTGCCTGGGGACAAAGGACAGGAGGGATGACCAAGGGGCATGAGGAAACTTTTAGGGGCAAGAGATCTGTTTGCTAGCTTGACTGTGATGATGGCTTCACGGGTGCACACGTCTGCCCAGACTTACCAGGCCGTACACTTTAAATACGTGTGGTCGAAGTGGCTATGGACTGAGACAGACCTGAGCGTGAATCCTGCCTCTTCTTTTACACGCACGGTGTTTGGAGTGGTAATCTCAATGCAGTTTATTTTTTTCTTTTTAATTTACATCCAAATTAGTTAGCATACAGCGCAACAAGGATTTCAGGAGTAGATTCCTTACTGCCCCTTACCCATTCAGCCCATCCCCCCTCCCACAACCCCTCTAGCAACCCTCTGTTCTCTATATTTAGGAGTCTCTTATGCTTTGTCCCCCTCCCTGTTTTTACATTATTTTTGCTTCCCTTCCCTTACGTTCATCTGTTCTGTGTCTTAAAGTCCTCATATGAGTGAGCTCATATGATACTTGCCTTTCTCCGACTGGCTAATTTCTCTTAGCATAATACCCTCCAGTTCCATCCACGTAGTTGCAAATGGCCAGATTTCATTCTTTTTGATTGCCAAGTAATACTCCATCGTGTATGTATGTGTGTGTATGTATATATATATATGTGTATATATATGTATGTATGTATGTATATGTATGTATGTATGTGTGTATATATATATATGTATATACATATATACATATATATATATATATATATATACCACATCTTCTTTATCTATTGATGGACATTTGGGCTCTTTCCAGACTTTGGCTATTGTCGATAGGGCTGCTATAAACATGGGGGTGCGTGTGTCCCTTTGAAACAGCACACCTGTATCCCGTGGATAAATACCTAGTAGTGCAATTGCTGGGTCATAGGGTAGTTCTATTTTTAATTTTTTGAGGAACCTCCACACTGTTTTCCAGAGTGGCTACACCAGCTGGCATTCCCACCAGCGGTGCAAAAGAGATCCTCTTTCTCTGCATCCTCGCCAACATCTGTTGTTGCCTGAGCTGTTCATGTTAGCCATCCTGACAGGTGTGAGGTGGTATCTCCTTGTGATTTGGATTGGTATTTCCCTGATGATGAGTGATGTTGAGCAGTGTTTCTCGTGCCGGTTGGCCATCTGGATGTCTTCTTTGGAGAAGTGTCTATTCATGTCTTCTGCCCATTTCTTCACTGGATTATTTGTTTTTTGGGTGTTGAGTTTGATAAGTTTTTTATAGATTTTGGATACTAACCCTTTATCTGATGTGTCATTTGCAAATATCTTCTCCCATACTGTTTGTTGCCTTTTAGTTTTGCTGATGGTTTCCTTCGCAGTGCAGAAGCTTTTTATTTTGATGAGGTCCCAGTAGTTCATTTTTGCTTTTGTCTCCCTTTCCCCTGGAGACGTGTTGAGTAAGAAGTTGCTGCGGCAGAGGTCAAAGAGGTTTTTGCCTGCTTTCTCCTCGAGGATTTTGATGGCTTCCTGTCTTACATTTAGGTCATTCATCCATTTTGAGTTTATTTTTGCGTCTGGTGTAAGAAAGTGGTCCGGGTTCATTCTTCTGCATGTCGCTGTCCAGTTTTCCCAACACCATTTGCTAAGGAGACTGTCTTTATTCCACTGGATATTCTTTCCTGCTTTGTCAAAGATTAGTTGGCCATACATTTGTGGGTCCATTTCTGGGTTCTCTACTCTGTTCCATTGATCTGAGTGTCTGTTTTTGTGCCAGTACCATACTGTCTTGATGATTACAGCTTTATAATACAGCTTGAAGTCTGGGATTGTGATGCCTCCTGCTTTGGTTTTCTTTTTCAAGATTGCTTTGGCTATTCGGGGTCTTTTCTGGTTCCATACACATTTTAGGATTGTTTGTTCTAGTTCTGTGAAGAATGCTGGTGTTATTTTGATAGGTATTGCACTGAATATGTAGACTGCACAGACTGCTTTGGGTAGTATTGACATTTTAACAATATTTGTTTTTCGTATCCAGGAGCATAGAATATTTTTCGATTTTGTTGTGTCTTCTTCAATTTCTTTTATAAGCTTTCTATAGTTTTCAGCGTATAGATTTTTCACCGCTTTGGTTAGGTTTATTCCTAGGTATTTTATGGTTTTTGGTGCAATTGTAAATGGGATTGATTCCTTGATTTCTCTTTCTGTTGCTTCATTGTTGGTGTATAGGAATGCAACCAATTTCTGTGCATTGATTTTATATCCTGCAACTTTGCTGAATTCATCAATCAATTCTAGTTTTTTGGTGGAATCTTTTGGGTTTTCCATATAGAGTATCATGTCATCTGCAAAGAGTGAAAGTTTGACCTCTTCCTGGCCTATCTGGATGCCTTTTCTTTGTGTTGTCTGACTGCTGAGGCTAAGATTTCCAATACTATGTTGAATAACAGCAGCGCAAGTGGACATCCCGGTCTTACTCCTGACCTTAGGGGGGAAGTTCTCAGTTTCTCCCCGTTGAGGATGGTATTAGCATTGTGTCTCTCATATATGGCTTTTACGATGTCGAGGTATGATCTTTCTATCCTTACTTTCTTGAGGGTTTTCATCAAGAAAGGATGCTGTATTTTGTCAAATGCTTTCTCTGCATCTATTGAGAGGATCATGTGGTTCTTGTCCTTTCTTTTATTGATGTGATGAATTACATTGATTGTTTTGTGGATACTGAACCAGCCTTGCATCCAAGGTATAAGTCCCACTTGGTCGCAGTGAATAACTTTTTTAATGTATTGTTGGATCCGGTTGGCTAATACCTTGTTGAGGATTTTTGCATCCATGTACATCATGGAAATTGGTCTATAGTTCTCCTTTTTAGTGGGATCTTTGGTTTTGGAATCAAGGTAATGCTGGCTTCATAGAAAGAGTTTGGAAGTTTTCCTTCCATTTCTATTTTTTGGAATGGCTTCAAGAGAATAGGTGGTAACTCTTCCTTAAATGTTTGGTAGAATCCCCTGGAAAGCCATCTGGCCCTGGACTCTTGTTTTTTGGGAGATTTTTGATTACTAATTCAATTTCCTTACTGGTTATGGGTCTGTTCAAATTTTCTACTTCTTCCTGTTTCAGTTTTGGCAGTGTATGTTTCTAGGAATTTGTCCATTTCTTCCAGATTGCCCATTTTATTAGCATATGATTGCTCATAATATTCTTTTATTATTGTTTTTATTTCTGCTGTGCTGGTTGTGATCTCTCCTCTTTCATTCTTGATTTTATTTATTTGGGTCCTATCCTTTTTCTTTTTGATCAAACTGGCTAGGGATTTATCAATTTTGTTAATTCTTTCAAAGAACCAGCTTCTGGTTTCATTGATCTGTTCTACTGGTTTTTTTTGTTTGTTTGTTTTGATAGCATTGATTTCTGCTCCAATCTTTATTATATCCTGTCTTCTGCTGGTTTTGGCTTTTATTTGCTGTTTTGTTTTGTTTTTTCCCGTCTCCTTTTTTTTTTTTTTTAATTTTTTTTTAACGTTTATTTATTTTTGAGACAGAGAGAGACAGAGCATGAATGGGGGAGGGGCAGAGAGAGAGGGAGACACAGAATTGGAAGCAGGCTCCAGGCTCTGAGCCATCAGCCCAGAGTCCCACGCGGGGCTCGAACCCATGGACCGTGAGATGGTGACCTGAGCTGAAGTCGGACGCTTAACTGACTGAGCCACCCAGGTGCCCCAGTTTTTTTTTTTTTCCATCTCCTTAAGGTGTAAGGTTAGGTTGTGCATCTGAGATCTTTCTTCCTTCTTTAGGAAGGCCTGGATTGCTATATACTTTCCTCTTATGACCACCTTTGCTGCATCCCAGAGGTTTTGGGCTGTGGTGTTATCATTTTCATTGACTTCCATATACTTTTTAACTTCCTCTTTAACTTCTTGGTTAGCCCATTCATTCTTTAGTAGGATGTTCTTTAGTCTCCAAGTATTTGTTACCTTTCCAAATTTTTTCTTGTGGTTGATTTTGAGTTTCATAATGTCATGGTCTGAAAATATGCACAGTATGATCTCGATCTTTTTGTACTTGTTGAGGGCTGATCTGTGTCCCAGTATGTGGTCTATTCTGGAGAACGTTCCATGTGCACTGGAGAAGAATGTATAGTCCGCTGCTTTAGGATGAAATGTTCTGAATGTATCTGTTAAGTCCATCTGGTCCAGTGTGTCATTCAAAGCCATTGTTTCCTTGTTGATTTTTTGATTAGATGATCTGTCCATTGCTGTGAGTGGGGTGTTGAAGTCTCCCAGTATTATGGTATTACTATTGATGAGTTTCTTTATGTTTGTGATTAATTGATTTATATATTTGGGTGCTCTCACATTTGGTGCATAAATGTTTACAACTGTTAGGTCTTCTTGGTGGATACACCCCTCGATTAGGATATAATGCCCTTTTGCATCTCTTGATACAGTCTTTATTTTAAAGTCTAGATTGTCTGATATAAGTATGGCTACTCTGGCTTTCTTTTGTCAACCATTAGCATGATAGATGGTTCTCCATCCCCTTATTTTCAATCTGAAGGTGTCTTTAGGTCTAAAGTGGGTCTCTTGTAAACAGCATATAGATGGATCTTGTTTTCTTATTCATTGTTACCCTATGTCTTTTGATTGGGGCATTGAGTCCACTAACGTTTGGAGTGAGTACTGAAAGATATGAATTTATTGCCATTATGTTGCTTGTATAGTTGGGAGTTTCTGGTGGTGTTCTCTGGTCCTTTCTAGTCTTTGTTGCTTTTGGTATGTATGTATGTATGTATGAATGTATGTGTCTTTTCTCCCCTCAGAGAGCCCCCTTTAAAATTTTTGCAGGGCTGGTTTAGTGGTCATGAACTCCTTTAATTTTTGTTTGTCTGGGAAACTTTTAATCTTTTTTTAAATTTTTTTAACGTTTATTTATTTCTGAGACAGAGAGAGACAGAGCATGAGCAGGGGAAGGGCAGAGAGAGAGGGAGACACAGAATCTGAAACAGGCTCCAGGCTCTAAGCTGTCTGCACAGAGCCCGACGCGGGGCTCAAACTCACAGACCGCAAGATCATGACCTGAGCCGAAGTCGGACGCTTAACCGACTGAGCCACCCAGGTGCCCCTCTCCTATTTTGAATGACAGCCTTGCTGGATAAAGAATTCTTGGCTGCATATTTTTCCAATTCAGTACACTGAATATATCCGGCCACTCCTTTCTGGCCTGCCAAGTTTCTGTGGATAGGTCTGCTGTGAACCTGATCTGTCTTTCCGTGTAGGTTAAGGACGTTTTTCCCTTGCTGCTTTCATGATTCTTTCCTTGCCTGAGTATTTTGTGAATTTGACTATGACATGCCTGATTGGTGGTCCTATTTTTTTAAGTAATCTCTACGCCCAACGTGGGGCTCGAATTCACGACTCTGAGATCAAGAGTCCCGTGTTCTACCGACTGAGCCAGCCGGCGGCCCCTGGAGGTTTATTTTTGCATATAGTAAGAGTGCCTAAGATTTCTTCCTTCCAGATGTATGGTTACATTGATGGCACTTATTAAACAAACCATTTTTTCCAAACTGGGAGCAAAACAAAACAAAACAAAACATAACATGGTGCCCAGGTATCTGGGGCTGAAAGCCTATCTAGTAAAAAGGTTTCACATTCTACATTTATCCTGAGATCAGTTTTTCATATAGAAGTTCTTACCTTTATTAATATATTTTCTGGTTTTACATCTCTGTGAAATATTCCATTTCTGCATGCAATATAAAAGGAAGGATAGAATTAGTTGCACCTCATTCAAATTCTTTTACATGGTGCTTTTAAATGAATGTTGATACATTTCCTTAATCTGAGAGCTGCCAAGTCCCCAAGAGCGTACCTGTGCATGTGATCAAGGGATTTACATAACTGGTACATATAGCATGTAATTCTCTTCTCCGGTAATGGGTGTCTTCTCCCTGCGCGGCCAAGGAAGTAGCCAAAGACGGTTACCAACGGTACATACCTCACTTCTTGAAGACAAAAATAGAATCCCACCATTTTATTCAATGATGTATGAAAATCCAACAAATAACCTGAAGTAATTTCCAGAAATACGGAGCGTACATAGGAAACGCACCGCTCAAAATTCTACTCGTGGGCATGATTTCATGGGAAACCCTGCATGCGCGCATTCTGGTTACCGCAAGAACAGAACCAAGCAATAAGCAGTACAGTAGTTTGGTCTGATACCCCCGGGGCCGAGCCTCCCGGGTGGGCCTTCCAGGACACGCTCTCCCCCATGCCGACTGTGAGGTGTCAGGGGTCGCTTGAAACTCCAGTGTTTTCCTCGGCTTCCGGTCTGAACGGAGATTTCCATTTTATAGGGGGAGAGATCTCAGTTCAACAGAAGCGCGTTTTTAATCCAAGACCCACGACTGCTTTGAATTTCATAGCGCACTCTTCTCTGACAAAGAGCAGCCATCATCTGGTGTCTCCTGGCACAGCTCCGCTGCCCCAGCCCGCTTGGCTGTCCACGCACCTGCTCACCAGGCCTGCAGGCAGGTTTTATGTTCTACAACTCTTAATACCACACGCACGCCAGCATCAGTTATCCTTGGTCCAGAGGATGTCACATTTTACTTGATTTCAATTTCAAAAGTGTATGTTTTAAGTTTTATTTTAAATATTTATTTATTTTGGGGGAGAGAGAGAGAGAGAGAGAGAATATCCCAAGCAGGCACAGAGCCTGATGCAGGGCTCGAACTCAAGAACCCTGAGATCATGACCTGAGCCAAAATAAGGAGTCAGACTCTTAAGACCAAGCCATCCAGGCACCCCTCGTTAAGTTTTAAATCTGAAACACGACTGTTCCGGCCTAACAATCCAGAAAACCACTTTCCCTCCGTGAGCACACATCCCATTTGACATTTTTGGTCTTAAGTTTGCCATTTCTAATGTCAAATAAATTTATTCTTTTTCTCTCATAAGTAGACAAAAATGTTTATGCTAATAGAAAGTAATTTAAATTACAAAATGTCTAAGTACAATTAATTCTTTCATATAATATTGTAACCTGTTTATTCTGTTTCACATAATTTATCACCCACTTTCTAGAGTTTAAAAGAATTAAACTAAGACTTAGTCGTCTTCCCCTAGCTTGAGTAATTCTGTAACTTTATATTAAATTCTTAGCTGTATGAAGATGAAAAGCAACGTTTCCGTTCTTCATCACATGTGCTACTGGATGAAGCTTCCTGAAATTTAGTTCTCGTCCTGGGGGGGGGGGGGGGCGGCTCTCACAGCCCACTGAATTAGCTCGGCACTCAGGACCCCCTACCCTCCCAACCAGGGGCCTCCAGGCTTCAGGAGGATCTGAATACCCCGGGGGCCTGTGAAGACACAGAATGCCCCCCACCCCACCCCTAGGTTCAGCAGGTGGGTGGTGGGGCCCCCAAAAACTGCCTTCTGAACATGCTCTCAGGTGCAGCTGCCAGGTCTGGGTCCTCACTTCGGGAACCACACTCTACCACACCCCTCTTGCTTACCGAACGCCCCAGCCAGCCAAATTCACCTGCAGATGCTTGTGTCCCTGCCTCACTCTCCTGCTACACACCTGCGCTCATGCGGTTCTGTTCCCGGGAGCTCCCTTCCAGCCTCGCCCACACGCCCAGATCTTCCAGCATAAACTTGTCAGGACAGTTATCCGAACTCGCCCTCAGCAAAGTGGAATCTTTTAGGGAAAGTCTAACCCACCGCACCTTCATAATCACCTAGGGATGCTTTAAAATGGCGACTCACAGCTCCAAACCCAGACCTAATGAATCTCAAAACCAGAGACATGGGCCAGGAATCTGCATTTCTCGGCTGCCCTCAGCCCCCAGCAGAAGAGCCCTCTTTAGGGGCTCACCCTCCCTTTCCTCATTGTCCCCCGGCCACCACCATTCATAGCCCTGCCCCCCACCCCGCTATGAGAATCCCCGCCTACCTAAGGGGCCTCCTGAGGGAGGGAGGCGCAGCGTGAACCGTGGGAGTGGGATGGTGCTCGGAACCATCGGAGTCCACCCCCTTGACCAGGAGCAGGCTGACTATCCATTCTCTACAACGGTTTTTCAAAAACAAGATCCTAAACCTTCCAGGCCCGAGACTGTATTGGGTTCCTAACAGATTCTTGTTCTCAAACATCTTGAAACAAAGGGAGATGGTACAATTAATAAACCACTCTGAAGTTCCCGTGGGAGCCTTACTGACCACCAACAAACACACCGCGCCGTCCCGACCGAGTTCATTTTTGCCAGCTGTTTTTTTTTTTTTTTTTTTTATCCAAATATCCTCATTAAGAAGATTCTAAAGGGGGCGCCGGGATGGCTCAGTCGGTTAAGCAGCTGATTTTGGCTCAGGTCATGATCTCACAGTTCGTGAGTTCGAGCCCCACTAATAGCACAGAGCCCATTTCAGATTCTCTCTCTCTCAAAACAAACTCTAAAAAAACACTCTAAAGAGTGTCATATACTATATCAATACTGTAGAAAGTGTTTCTGTGAGCACAATAATAAACTCTGGCATTCGCTGCCGCTACGAGTGGAAGGAACACGGCCACCAGGATAGTCCGCGTCGTAACAGAATATGGCGCACACACCCCGTCCCACAAGAGACCCCATCCGCCGGCCTGTGCCTGGCTATCCCGGCCAGGCTTGGAGGCACGTGGCGGGGTCCAGCAGGGCACGGGCAAATGCAGCGGGTAGCAGGTGGGATGTCGGACTCGGCGGAGCCCGAACCATCCCTGGCAAAACGCAAGGATGAGCCCCCTAGTTCTGCCCGGCTCATCTTAAGCAAGTGCTGGAACTTCTGTGGAATCCCGCCTCCTCGCCTCTACAAGGGAGGCAAGCGCCTGGGGTGGGAGGGTCAGATGCACGCACTCTACGCGGTGCTAACGTGATCGTGACGACGCGGATGACGGCGATCCGTGTTTACTGAAGACTGTGCAGTGGCCCCTGCCCTAAACGCGGCACGTTATCTTATCTGCTCCTCACAACAATCCCAAGAGACTCTAGGTTTATTCCTATTTCACAGACAAGGACCGAGGCTCACGGGCCTGACCTGGACCCACCACCGTTAAATACACAGGACAGAGGACACCTGTGCTGTGTCCGCACAGCCACAACTGGAGCCACGCTTCCCAGAAGCAACAGCATCACAACTAACAGGACGGTGACATGGGCTTGGAAGAAAATTCAGGAGACAAAAATGCGGTATCACTCACACCCCGTCTGAATGGCATAGAGACCGAGAGCTTAAGGAAAACAAAGGCGTCGATCACGGTGTCAGAATGTTTCAAGGAAGTGTTAGGAATGCCAAAACAGAGCTACTTCACTCCAACTTTCCTTTTTATATACGCGGGAAAGTCAAATAGATCCCAAGAGCTCTTTTAGTAAGCACAGAACTAAAACTGCTCTGAGTAGATAAGAAAGCTACGTGTCACAGTTGGTAGGCAACGTTTCCTCTAAAAATTCTGCGTCTTACAATCAGTGGGTCAGATCAATGAAGTATAAAAATACAACTGAATTGATCTGACACTGTAACGTCAGGCAAAGTAGTTCTTAATAAGAATCGTAATAAGGCACACCGCCCAAGCTGTTCGTGGAACTGTGATGCTATGTTTGCAGTCAAATCGAACCTGTCTTGCTCCTTCCCACTTGGTTCATTCCCCAACGTCACAGATTTATTTCAAGGTCCCTGCCCCACCCACAGCCTCTAAAAGGTATAACCCTGGGGCGCGTGGGTGGCTCAGTCGGTTGAGCGTCCAACTTCGGCCCAGGTCATGATCTCACAGCTCATGAGCTTGAGCCCCGCGTCGGGCTCTGTGCTGACAGCTCGGATGGAGCTTGCTTCGGATTCTGTGCCTCCCTCTCTCTTTTCCCTTCCCCTGCTCGTGCTCTGTCTCTCTCTCTCTCAAAACTAAATAAATGTTAAGAAAAAAATTAAAAAATAAAAGGCATGACCCTAAGGGGACAAGGCCAGCTCACCGGACCTGGAACAGCCGGCACTCCGGGAGGTGGCCAATGACTCGGCTTTCTGGGCCTGGCCCGTCTGCCGCCGGTGGAGGGTCTCAGGGTCTGAGTGGCCAAGTCTGCCAAGAGGAGAGGGACACGCAGAGGAGGAGGGGCAGAGGACCACGTGGCTCCGAGACGGTCAGCGGCGGCCTTGGCAGCCGGACCTTTCCTGGCCCCACCTCCCAAGAGGCCTGACTGAGCTTCCTGCAGGAAATCCGAGGTTTCACAATAAACCGTCTCTTCTGTGTGTGAACGAGCCGCACACGAGCCGCGCAGCACGTGCTCCTGGCAATAACAACCTACGACACTCAGTGCCTGTGAACGTCACCCAGGGGGACGACACACCGAGCCACACCGGAAACAGGGCCGGGCACTGAGAGGACACCCCTGACGGAGCCGGCAAGGGCCCCACCGCCAGAGAGCAAATGCCCCGGCGGACAGTCGGACAAGCACCAGGGGAGCGGACGCATGTCAGGCGTCACGTGGGAGATCAAGGAGACAGGAGGGAGCTGCGACAGAGGGGGCAAGGCGAGGTGAAGGAGCAGCCACCCACGGCTCCAGGCGGGCACCGGAGGGCGGTAGCCACTCACAAAAGCACGGTCATTTAACCTCAAACAGTTTAAAAAAGAAGAAGGAGAAGAAGAACAAGAACAGAATCAGATACAATGCATTAAGATCCTAGATGCCCCTAGGGGCGCCTGGCTGGCTCGGGCAGAAAAGCGTGCCACTCTTGATCTTGGGGCTGTGAGTTCGAGCCCCACGTGGGTGCAGAGATGAGCTAAATAAATAAAAACTTAAAAAAATAACAAAATAACAGATGCCTCCATAACCAGGTTATAGTCTTATCCAGTCTTTCCTTATAAACTCCAAGACAGCCCTCCCCTGCTGCAGGTGGCAGATGTCCGGCGCCATAAGCACAGTGCGGCCGAATAAACCACCCAGGACGGCAGGATGGCCGGCGGTGTGGTTGGTGCCCCGGGGCGCCAGCTACGCCCTCCCCGCGTGGACAGCTCCGTGACAGTTCTTCCCAAGGGAGCAGCGGGCACAATACCTTTACCATCTCTTTGCCCGTCTCCCCACCACAACGCAGACCCATCCCAACCGCCACCTCGCGGGCCAGGCACGCTCGTGGCTGGGACTTCCAGATGTGACTGGCTTCTGCGTCCGTCGGACCAGACCGCTCGAGAAAGAGGACTCAGGCCCGAGTTCCAGAGACAGACGAGAGGAGGGAGAGCATCCGCTCTGAGTGCGGATCTTGGCGGAGGGCGCCTCCTGCCCGGGCAAAGGTGGCCTGGTTCTAGAGCCCGGAGCCCGGAGCTCCTTCGTTTGGGGCATCCTGTCTGTGGCAGAGGCAGCAGCACCCGGGGCAGCCCAATCCTGCAGAGTCGTTTTTTGGGAGCTCCTCCCTGGAGGCCACGCCCCGAGTGTTTCTTCAGTCCTCCCGGCAACTCTGCGGAGCCATCCGTGTCACTTGGGTCCCCTGGGGTTACACTGGCCAGAACAGAGGCTGCTGTCTGCAATGGGAAGGGACAACCGGTACATCCTCTGGTGGCCCGTTCATTCTTTAAACAGCATCCAGAAAAGTGCTTCTAAAAAGCACAGTCTGAACTGATACCAGTCCGGGGGCTGTTTGTCTCTGGTTTAGGAGGAGACAGCAAAAACTAAGAGTGACCGGAAACTTGTACAGCAATTCAACGCCGCTGTGACATCCAAGCACATGACTGTTTTTCCGGTAATTAATTTTTACGTATTTTACAAAAGTCCAGTCCACAACACATTGGGAAAAAGCAAACGAACAAACAACCGGTCTTCGACTATAGTTTTAGAAACGCTGGTCTAAACCCCAATCAAAAGATGCTTCTTCCCTGCTTTAAAACCCGTCAACGTGGGACGCCGAGGTGGCTCGGTCGATTGAGTGTCCGGCTCTTGATTTTGGCTCAAGTCATGATCTCACAGTTCGTGGGATTGAGCCCCATGTTGGCTCTGCGCTGATAGCATGGAGACTGCTTGGGATTCTCTCTCCCCCTCTCTCTGCCCCTCTCGTGCTTGCTTGCTCTCTCTCTCTCTCTCAAAATTAAATAAACACTTAAAACCCACTAATGCTTCCCACTGAACTTAGAATGATGTGAATTCTTACCCTGGCCCTCCCTGCCTCCTGGCCCCTACCTACCTCATTTCTAACTTCCTTCCTAGTGCTCCAGCCACACTGGCCTCCTAACCTCACAGTGGCCTCAGGACCTTTGCACTACTTGTCTCTGTCTGGAACACTCTGTCCCCATCAATCTCACATGGGACCTGTTTTATTCACTGTAACACTTATCCTGTCTTGATCTCCTTCTTGATCATTTCTTTACTTGTTCAGTGTTTCCGTCTTCCTGCGCGTGAGCCCACGTGGATGGGACCGTGTCTGTCATGTTCCCCACTGGGTCCACCTCCAGAGCAGTGCATAGCATGTAGCAGTGAATGAGACACCCTCGCCTGCATTTGCCTGCTTCCCCCAATCTTCCGGGTAAAGCCCAGTCATCTCCGCCTCATCTGACACCTACTGGGTAAAGAGAAAATTTCCCCAGCAATTCGCCTCTAATGATTTTGACTTCCATATAGTTTCTCTTCTCTCTTCAACAGACTCTACACTGTTTATCAAAAAAGCATCTTCTGTTCTTCTCCTCTACCTCTGCCCGACCTTGCACGCTGCCGTGCATATGAGCAGACAATCCAGCCAAGACTGGGCGATTCTTCTCTTGTGCCATTAACTGGTTCTTCCGCATCTGACGGTGCTACTCAACATTCTCATCATCCAGGAGAGCGGTCATTTCAGTAAAATGAATTGTCACTCTAGTAGAAAAAGCTTTCGTGACCGATTCAGGTTTCAATAAACCACTGTGACCATCAACAACAACAAATCGTTAGCAGGCGCCCATTCATTTGAGGCACTGAGCTGGGGCCAGCAGTAGAGACCCAGAGGAGCAGTGGGGTGTGGTGGTTATCACTTAATCCTTGAAACCTCGGTCTCCTTGTCCGTAAAGTGTAGACGATAACAGTGCCAACCAAAGAGGGTTGTCAAGAGGCTGGATGTGTGGTGGCTGAGAACACGCACTCTGGAACAGGCTGAGTCCAAACTGCGTGTCTACCACATGTCCATAACCTCGGACAAGGTACTTATCTCCCCGTGCCTCCATTTCTCCATCTTTAAAATGGGGATCATCAGGGGCACCTGGGAGGCTCAGTCGGTTAAGCATCCGACTTCCACTCAGGTCATGATCTTGCAGTCCATGAGTTCAAGCCCCGCGTCGGGCTCTGTGCTGACAGTTCAGAGCCTGGAGCCTGCTTTGGATTCTGTGTCTCCCTCTCTCTCTGCCCCTCCCCCGCTCGCACTGTCTCTCTCTCACTGTCTCGAAAGTAAACATTAAAAAAATTTTTTTAATAAGAAAAAAAAGCAAAATGTTGGCTCACATAATGAAATAATGAAGTTTGGTGGTTACTGGGGACCCTGTCCTGACACTTTGGCAGACAGATGTACGGGGAGAAGCAGAGTAAACAATCCACATCCCACAGGACGTAGGAGAAAATGTAATCCTGAGCAACGCCTCATGGATCCAGACTATTTGGAATCGATGCTTAGCAAGCGACGTTTCCAGATCAATAAGGTTTACTCTTCGAAAGTAAAACTCTCCTCTGTTGTAATCCTTTAACTGGGAACCTTTTTTTAAATCTTTTCTTCACTTTCCTGCTGTTTGCATCACGTTTACCGGCGCGGTAGGCTTACCGCAGTCCAGCCCGCGACTGCGCGTTCTCTAACCCGTCTTGGGGCGTCTGGGGTCTTCCGGCTGCCCAGACTGCGCTCATCCGCGGGGGCGCTGCTGTGGTTGTCCTCCCGTTTTAGATTTTCAGTTTCATCCCCCATTGTAGGACTGTCACCTGTCGCTTCCCGTTACTGCTGGTGGGCCGAATTCTAGAAGCTCCTTCTAGCCAATGGCTCTATTCCGAATGGGCTCTATACTGAGAAACCTGGCAACCTTGTTAGCATTGTACTCAAAACGCAATGAAACAGGTCCCCGAGGGGATGGGCTTACCTATGAATAAAATACACAAGGTTTGTAACATAGGAAATACCATACATGCCCAGACAAAAGGCGATCTCCCACTTTCTCGAAAAGATCCAAAAGCTCTTCATCAACTTCTGTGGGTGTAGAAAAGCTTGCCTATTTCTACTATTTATTTTATTAGTGAGCTACTAAAGCACACATTTCAAATCGCTAGAGGACCCACTAATTTGATGACGACGCTTTTCCCCACATTCTGACTTCATCACCATTTTATTCCGACTCTTCATGTGCTTCTTCCACACCAGGGTCACCCTCATCACAAAAATAGCTTCTTGATCTCAAAAATGCCACATGACACCTTCCATACCACCTTTGACCTGGCTTAAGATGATACAGCAGTTTTTAAATGGTTCTTGCAAGCCACAAACAGTCACTCACATAACACAAGGCAAATCTGCTTTCATTCGTCCGATCGGCACCGCGTGATCGGTCGGTAAGATACCACGCTTTCTGTGCTTTCTCAGGGACAGCTACGAGGCTCATTTGTCCTGACACCTAACGCAACTGTGCAGTCAGACCCCCAGGGATATTTGCTGAATGTGGGCCAACATCCGCCTCCCCTATCAGCCTCCCAAACCAGCCCTGACTGAGGCCGGCTCGGGCGCTGTGCTTTCCCGAACGGAGCTCTGCCGTTCAGGGGAAAGTGAATAAATGAGCATCCTGTAACGCGGGAGAAAGACTTTATAAGGATCTGAATAGAAGGTGGTCGTCTCTGGGCTGAGGGAGGATCTTGGGGGACAAGCCTTGCCTTATGTTGAGCAGAGCCACCAGAGTGACCTTTGGAGCGGCACAGCGCCCCCTGCAGGGACCTGAGGTGAGGAAGGCCTGAGCACCCGTGTCACCTGCCAGCCTGGACCTAGATGGCTTTACTTGTCACTGACCGCCCTGTGTTGAGGAGACGAGACTGACAGAAGAATACCTCCCAAGAGGTGACTGAGGATTTTGAGAACTGAAACAAAGTACACGTGAACGACAGGCTTTAGAAGAAGATCTTAGGTTAGCTTGCAAATTATTCTACGTACCTCGGATTAGCTCATAAATATTCATGTCCATAAGTTCACATATTAGTGCAAGAGAACCAGATTTTCTGTCACTGAAGAAGAAATCAGGCTTTTAAAAATGTTTTTCTTGTCTTAATCAGAAACTATCATCAAACATTTAATTCATTTGTGCACATTTCTGGTAAACATAAAGCTCTCCCACCTCAAAGCCTGGGCCATAGTGACTGAAACAGAAGTTGCGATTTTCAGTCAATTATTTCAGTCAATTAATTTAAAATTAATTTAAAACAACAGTAAAAATAAAATAAAATATAATAAACTAACAGTAAAATCCCACTTTAAGCAAACATTCTAAATGCTTCCCCCCTTTTTAATGAGATGTGTCTTAAAAATATAGAACTAACTACTGGCAGAAAGGAGAAAGGAGGTCGAGTCGGCCACGCAAAACAGAGGAGAAAGAATTTAGTTCATGCTCCATGACTGCAAATTTATTTAGTTCTAACTTACCTAGATTCTTCCTTGTACCTGGGATAAATTATGATGGGGAGACAAAAATCCACAAACCAGTCAGGGGAAAAGGGAGGAAGACGGGTCACCCCAAGCCCAGGTGGGGTCCAGGCCTTGCACGGGGTGGGGACCGAGGCCTCCGGCCGGGCTGCCAGCTTCTCTGGAGCTGACACTGCCCTGTTTGAAGGCCCCTGAGCCCTCGGCAGAGGAGCACGTGTCACTCCAGACCCTACTAGTCAGGTCGCCTCCAGAGGGGCTGCCCGGAGGGGGGCGCGCACGCAGGCCCGGAGAGTGCCCAGGACGCGGCGTGCAGTGGGCGGTGTCGTGACCAGTGCGCACTGCGGGCTCCAGGCCAGGAGGCCACGCGGCTATGACAAGACATTCTACTGCGAGTTTCAAACTGCTCTCTTCCCTGATGAAAACCCACTGCACTTCGTCAGAGACCCTAGTGTTCCGGCTGGTTTTAAAGCGGCCTGGAGCACCGTGGAGAGCTTCACGGAGCGTGCGCCTTCTCAGGGGGCACAGAAAGGCAAGTTCCAGAACCCTGGTCCGAGTTCCCGGCTCAGAGTCCAGAAGGGCAGTGCGGAACTGCCAGCACCCGCAGGTGAGGTGTGCCCTGCCTTCCTGATGGGTAGGTGAGCCTCACGTAAGGAGACTAATCTATAATTAGAACACAAGTGACAAGTCCCCCAAATTACAGCAACCATAGTAAGGTGGGGGGGGGGGGGTCACACTACCTGACACGGTGCAGACATGACAGCCGGCAGGGACAATCCCTGACACATGACAATCCCTGATGTAGGACCACAGTGCTTTCCCACTTGCCCATAACTCACACTCAAGGCCTCAGAGGCACAGGCCACTGCCTACAAGGAAGCCTCACTGAGCTACGGGAGAGGAACCGTTTGAATTCTGTCCACTTTTATGATAGGGAATCACCTAAACGAAGGTATTTCCGCATTAGGAATCAGACACACATTTGTCCACGTAAATACGTGACTTAAGATAAAATGAGAATCATTACTCCCTGAGCTACAAAGCAAATATTTCAAATGTCTACCACAGTTTTCTTCCTTAAAAAGAGATCTGATCATTGTCATCAAATGCAGATCATTGTAAAGCCCCAGGAATACTTACAAAACCACTTCGTGCAACGTGAGGATGTTCGGGTGTGGGTTCAGGCGCCTCAGTGCTTGTATCTCCCGTAGACTGTTCACTTGCTCGATACTATTGCGTGGGTAAAAATAAATAACTAATTCATAATTCAAGTCAGCCTCAGATTAGGGTTATTCAATCATTATTTGTTACCCATGATCACAACTGAGAACCTCACACATATTTCAAGCAAGTTCATCGACTCATTATTTCTCCCGCCAGCAGGTGACGTTCAACATGTCTCGTTCTGCATCATCTGATAAAAATCAAGGTTCTTACGGCTTTGGACATTTATTCAAATTTTCCCATCGAAGCTCCTGAAAGAATACCTTAGTGGTTTCTTTTATAATTAGTAAACATGGAAACAAACATTAGAATTTCCTATTAATCAGTTTATGGGAACTAACCAATTGAGCAACAGAAATACCCCCTGAAAATACCCATCTCAAATTTCCATGAACACGCTAATCTTCCTTATCTTTCATCAAAGCTGTACATTTTCTCACTTTCGTTCAGCTGGCGGCTGGCGTTCCCTCGGCAGGTGTGACTTACCTACCGCCAGCTCTTCTTTACGAAGACGGGTCTGCCAGACGCCGTTTACATCCCAAACCTCGCCGATGTGAGTGGGACGGAAGCAGATGGGGATGGGCTGGCTGTCACCACACTCCAGAGACCGCTTCCAAGAGATAACCCCCCTTGGACGGGCCCACGGTCACGGTCGTGGTCGTGGTCACGTCCAATCAAATGACTAGATCCACCAAGAGACTTCCATGGCCTCGGCTCTGAAAGGAACTAACTGTGGGAATAGTCTTCTTCTTTTGAACTGCCAAAACTCTGTTCTGCCAACTTTTAATATACAGTGTAAAGCTCAGCATTTTGTCTGGTTCTTCAAAGGGCAGTTATACCCAATAGTGTATTATTACTGTCTTAAATCAGTGTGAATATGTTAAGTCTCGTGCCAGCCAACAAATGGGAGCCTGGTATATGAGAAAAGCCTGAATAGTCTGAGTGTAAGGATGTTTCTGACTACAAGTTTTAGACTCTTTTTCATTTACTTTCCCCTGGTGCTTCCCTCACACCCAGGACGACATATGCCAAATGTTAGCAACTTGTGCATCAGTCAACAACCAACCAGAAAAGACAGAGCCCACCGTGCTGGAACAAGGTCCTACGGAGGGGGCCCCTGTTGAACCAGGTACTAACCTTTTAGCTCTGGGGAGAGGAGAGGTCTGGGGAGTGCCGGCCAAGGGCCAGGTGTAGGGTGGAGGTGGGAAGGGTCAGCACTCAAGAGGCTCAGGATAGCCGGTTACTACCCAGAATAGGAGTCTTTCGCTGTTCTCGTGACCACCGTGTTCGGCCTGGCGTGTGCAGAGACCAGATCATGACGCTCTCCACTCACTCTGTCAGCTTAGTGCCTACCCCACCACCTGCTCCTCGCCAGCATCACGGCCTCCCCTAGATGCCTTTAGAACAATGCTTCCCAAATATGTCCCATAGAACATTCTTCCTCTAGAAAATGCTTTTTCAAGAAACTTCACGCTAAGAAAGTTTGAGATAGACCCACTCCAGCTCCTTTTGGAAAGCCATGAACTACTGCTGATTTTACTGTTGAAAAGTTTTCAAAAACCCTACAAATGGGGGCGCCTGGGAGGCTCAGTCGGTTTGTGTTCGACTTCGGCTCAGGTCACGATCTCGCGGTTTGTAAGGTCGAGCCCCGCGTCGGGCTCTGTGCTGACAGCTCGGAGCCTGGCACCTGCTTCGGTTTCTGTGTCTCCCTCTCTCTCTGCCCCTCCCCCACTCATGCTTGCTCACTCTCTCTCTCTCTCTCTCTCTCTCTCAAAAATAAATATACATTAAAAAATCCCATAGAAGTTTACCTTTATTGAAACCAACATTTCCCAAACTTTTTTGCCCTAGGATCACTTCTTACAAACTATCTAGTCACCAACCCTTAGAACGAGGGTTCCAGAGAACACACCGCTCCAGACCATCCTTTGAGTGGCATGACAGGAATACCTTTTTTCCTTCGGACAGGGGAGGTGAACAAAGATACCAATCAGGCAATAGGAAGAAAGAAAGATCAAGTGAAACACTCTTGTGGGGGCACATGGGCAACCGATGGAAGAGCCTCTTTTAATCCGTCTCCCTGGGTCTGCACTGGAGGAGACCACTGAGCCCCTCTTCGAGGTCCCGCACCTTGTGGGGGGGTCTCCTGACTCAGGGCTAGGTTGCTGGAGACCCCACCTCTACCCGGTGCCTGTGCCTGTCATGCCTCTACCCCTGGCATGCCGTAGGTCAGTGGCTCTCATGGGGGAGGGACCTTGCCCCCCAGGGGATGTTTGACAATGTCTGGGACGCTATTAGCTGTCACAGGTTCTGTAACATACTGTTCCATTTGGCATTCAGTGGCAGCAGCTGGGGTTGATGCTCAGTATCCCACAGGGCCCAGGACAGGCCCCACAATAAGTAATAACCTGGGTCTGAATGTCAGCAGTACCAAGGCTGGGAAACCCTGCCTTGGTGGAAAAAAGAGCAAGAGACCAGTGGAGCCGGCAACAGCTCTGATTTCCGAACACCCTATAGGAAAAAAATAAGTTTTCCGAACTGGAGGGTCAAACAGCCTGGTCATTGAGACGAACAAGTATCCACTCTGCTCAGCTTTAATATGAAAACCTGTTATCATACCCTGAAACACATTATTGTTTATTGCAGACATAATTCTTTCGTGTCTCCACAGACATTTCTCTCAGAAATAATGAACTAATACATTTAAAAGGATATTTTCATCTAAGTATCACTAGCTTTGTTCAAATAACATTTTATTAAATTTTATTGGGGGGAGGGGGGGAAAAGGGGGGGGGGGGAGAGAGAGGGGGGGGAGAGAGAGAGAGAGAGAGAGAGAGAGAGAGAATATCTCAAGCAGGCTCCACACTCAGAGCAGAGCCCAACACAGGGCTTGATCCCACGATCCTGGGACCATGGCCTGAGCTGAAATCAAGAGTCAGACACTCAACTGACTGAGCCACCCAGGTGCCCCAACAATATTTCGTTTTAATAAAATACAAATAAACCCTGTTCTTTTAAAAATCATGAAAAATATCTAACAACTGGAATTAACCACTTTTCTGCGCCTTGAAGTTGCTTCGAATTTTGTGGTCAGGTGACATTCAGGGTTTTGTTCGTTTTCACTGTCCTGCTGGAGACCGAAGCGATCATGGAACTGGACACAGAGGAGCGCAGGCAGCCTCTGCTCCAAAAGGAAGAGACAAGATCCCCCGTACGTGCGTTTTTCCGCAACTGGAAAAATTATATTACCGGGTCCAAGTCTTTAAAGAATAAAAAATATTAATTTTGCAATGTCAACACTTCATTTTATTGGAAGGGTTTTACAGAAAAGTTTATCTAACCAATCCAGTCTGCAGGAAGAAAGTCCCTAAGCTGAAGGGGAAGAAGTGGGTATATTAATATTAGACAAACTAGACTTAAAAACAAAGATTACTTAATTTTTTTTAGCGTTTATTTTTGAGACAGAGAGAGACAGAGCATGAATGGGGGAGGGGCAGAGAGAGAGGGAGACACAGAATCGGAAGCAGGCTCCAGGCTCTGAGCCGTCAGCACAGAGCCGGATGTGGGGCTCGAACTCACGAACCACGAGATCATGACCTGGGCTGAAGTCGGACGCTTCACCGAATGAGTCACCCAGGTGCCCCTAAATAAAGATTATTACTATCTATAATGCTTTCATAGTGATGGGACAACACATCAAAAAGGCATGACAGTTACAAACGTGTGTGTGCTAAGTAAGAAAGCTTCAATACACAAGTGAAAACTGACAGAAGAAAGAAGAAAGGGTTGGAAGTTTCCATACTCTCTATACAACTGAGACACAACTGAATGACACAACAGTCATTCAGAAAACCAGTAAAGAGATCCAAGATCCTAACAGCACTGTTAACCACCTTGACCTAACGAGCTTTTACATAACACCTATTACTTAACACCTGGAGCTAGAATATGCTCTCCACTCAGATGAATATCTGGACCCAAAGATAAATCTCGATAAATTTCCAAATACGAAGACTTCCAGAACATGTTGTTCTCTGACTACAATGGGCGTAAATTAGAAATCAATGATAGTAAGTTAGCTAGAAAAATCCCAAACACCTGCAAATTAAGCAACACACTTGTAAATAAACCACGGGTAAAGAAGAAATCACAAGGGAAGTTAGAAAACATTTAAGCCAAGCAACAAGAAAGCACGACATATCAAAATGTATAGGATGCAGGAAAACAGGGCTTAGAAGTGTATTTATGGCTTTAAATGCTTATGTTGGAAAGGAAGAAATAGTTACAAACCAATTATCTAAGTTTTCACCTTTAGACAGCAGAATAAGAACACTAAATTAAACCAAAGTAGAAGAAAAGCAATAATGGAAGAACAGAAATCAATGGCACAGAAAACAAACAAACAACAGAGGAAATTAACAACGATTCTTTGAAAAGATTCATAAAACTGATAAACCCCTGGCAAGACCAATGGAGGAAAAAATGACATAAAACACCAACACTGCCAACCGATATCAGGAGTGAAAGAGACGGTATGACTACAGTTAGATGTTAAAAAGCCAAAAGGGGGTAACACGAACAACTGTATGCCAAGAAGTATGACAACTTAAATAGACAAAGTCCTTGAGAAACACAATTACCAAATGTGACACAAACCTGAAAACCAAAATAGCCGCGTGTTTCCCAAAGAAATGGAATTTGTTAGCAAGGGCCTCCTCACGGCTGACGGAAGTGCTCTTAGATGGGATCGTGGCGGCAGCTGGACACCCGCATAAATTTCCTAAACTGCTCCTACCATGGGTGGATTTGATGAAATGTAAATTACATCTCAATGGAGCTTTAAAAAAACCTACGAGGACCCTGTATCATTTGGCATCGTTCTGATTCTTCAACATCCCACGGTGCGTACCATGACGCCCCACCCGGCCCCACTCCTTCGTTCCGTTTCCAGCTCGTCGCCACTACAAGTGACGCTGTGACCAACGTTATGGGGCCGGGGTGGGGGG